GTATAAATCAGATTGCCGAGTGTTTTGGTGTTCTTTCTCTTTTGTATCATAGTCAAACATGACAGCACGTTCCCTGTTGTCATAATATGAAACCCCAGAAAAAATGAACCAATGAACGAGCATTTGAATATGATAGTTCTGCCCCTTTCTCTTTCTCTGCCGTCACAATATGTAAACCCCGGCAAAAATGAACCAATCCACGGGCATTATCTGGAGTGCGGGTAACTGATACCCGCACTCCAGTTACCGCACTGTGCATGTATATGTATACGATTTAACTCTGACACTTTTTCAACAGAGAGGTACCCAAACTATGATACAATTATAAAAAGAACATGGTACTAAGTATTTAGACCCCAATATTGGAATATTTCCTCATTTCCTTTACCCTTGTGGTGACTAAAACGATCATAACGTACATATACTTATGTATGCCATTATTAGGCCGAAATATAGTAAACATGGTAATTAAGTGTGTGTAATTTTCCAGATTTCGTATTTTCTAAAAAAGACTATCAACCCTTTAACTATTGTTATATAATTGAACATTGAATTATGAGAGATATAGATATAATTCATTTTACCGATGGTAATGAATTTTTTTCTGTTGTTTGGTGTCAAATTTAACAAAATGAAACGTAAAAGAGAGCCATAGACTTAAATAGCTTTTGATTATCAGAACTAAGATGGAAGAAATATAAGCACGTGTTGTATGACAATATTGCTTGTTTTTCTAACCGCCTCTAATGTTGCAAAGGGATACCTTCTTGTTGTAAAATAAAACATGCTAATTTTACTGAAGTGAGAATTCTTGGTTTCAATCCAATCGAGAACCCTATGAAGATTGCGACATACTTCTAAAATTAAGTTAAGTGACTATTTTGTTTAAGAAGATGGAACGTAATAATCATTTACCAAGTGGATGGATTGATTGTCGTTAAAAATGTTTTCTTTTCAAATTCTTTAAGCAATTTTGTTCAACACAATAAAAACAGATTATATCTATTTTGCCAAACATGTTCATGAGTAAAATACATAAAGTTTAGACGAGCTAGCTGACATACGAACAGATCGGCAGACAGATTTGCTAGAGCTTCAATGCGATATTTTTCCCTTAAATGTTTAATATCTATTATTCTTTTATCTATTCCATTGTACAAATTTACACCTGCAATGACACTTTGTATAACAAGAAGTCAGAATATTACACAATACCTGTAATCACCTTATGTCTTTCATACGTATTTGGGCATGCAGATAGTAATACAAATAGATTCATGAACAAAAACATATCATTATACCACAATTTGGATGGGAAGGTAAATTAAAAAAATCAAAACATATTGTAAAGGAATACAGTCGGTCTCATTTTATCCCATTTGTTTTTAAAAATATTCTCAATACAGATGGAAAGACTAATCATTTTTATAAGGAAAATACAGTTTATGAAACCGCTGTCTTTACAAAGTCTCATTTTATTAGATGCAGATAAGAACTTAAACAAGCATTTGTTCCTCGTTGAATTTTTATTCACTATTGCCTGAGATAAACGCTTGGAGTTTAGAAAGAAAATATACATTTAAATTACATTAAGCAAAATGTAAAGAAGCATGGCCATTTTTTCTGTTAAAAACTGTTTTGAAAACGGTTAAAGATCATGTAACACAATTTTGTTATGGTTTTTATTTCATACATATGATGCTCAAAGTAAGATTTGTCAATATTGTAAGTTCCAATAAGCATTATCTGTAAAAATATTACCGAATTTACCCTTTTTATGTAAATAAAGGGAGGTATTTAGAAATCTTTTTTATAAATTCTTTGTCAAATTTTCCAATCAGAAATAAATGCATATAATTTATTAAATTTCTTAAAATGTGTGCAAATATTTGCAGTACATATTTTACATATTCTTCGATGTTTGAAACTTGTTTTATTTGCATAATAATATACATATATTATGTCATGAAAGAGTGGTATACACACAGGTACAATATCAATTACAAAACATACAGGATCTTTTAAGAAAGAATTGTAAAGAAGCCACATTCTCATACCTGATTTATGTCGATTAATCAGACAAAAAAAATAAAGAATTAATGCGCATTTTGTTACATAAAAGGACATTTTTTTTGTATTACAATTTGATAAAGTGACCTTCGCGTAATAAACATTCATCTTTTCAAGTGCCCGGTAAACAAGCTTGAACATATCGCTTTATGTTTGTTAACGTTTCTTACATTTCGTATTTAACAAGTTCAACACATGTCACATAGTTCAATGGAAGGAGATCATAAACCCTGTTTAAATGCATGTTGCTCAAGACGTTTCTGAAATGATAATTACGAATTGAAACACAATCCTAGCCATATTTTATAAGCCTTGAACTTTCCTAACTTTCCAGTACCGTCCATGAACAGTCTCATTCAACCCGAGCCTGCAATATTTATCATTTTTGTCGTTTTTGGCGTTCTTTAGGAATTCTTTTTTTCTCTATTTATCCACTGAAATTCAAGCCCCTCTCCTCCCCACCCCCCGATTTCAAATTATATTTGAACAAATTATTTAAGCCTTGTCATGACATGTGACCAGGTAATCTATTGTTGTCGAACATATCGCTTTTTCATGGCTTTCAATAGGGCACACGCTTCTTTTTACTTGGGGAAAATACGCTGCTTTTCATGGAACGACAATGAAGTGCCTCATTGAAGGGTCTATGATTGAACAGTAGTTTGCACTTGACAGTACCGTCCATGAACAGGCTCAATCAAACCGAGCCTGCTTTATTTTCAATTTCGCCATTTTATCGCCACATCAGCACTGTTTGTGTTGTGTGGTGACTTTAAAAAGTTGCCCCGTACATTCAACCAGAGATGATATATTCCGATCCTGAAAGATCGTTCAGCACGACATTATGGATGTTTGTGGGATTTTTTTTTTTTAACTATGTGGCATTTTCTAGTTGGGTGGTTCCAATATTTCTTCTTGATAAATGTTGAATCACACTTAGGATATGAGTCCTACTTTTTAAGTTTGTCTTTTGACGCCATATCTGTGATTTACAGGATAACCTCTTATCCCCTTTGAAAATTCAATTTTGTTAAGTTCTGCCATCTTTTTCTCGTATAGGGCACATATTTTCGACTACTTAGGGACCATACGCAGCCTTTTATTGAATGGCACTGAAGTGTCACATTGAAGTTTCCTTGAAAACCGCCTTATGAACACATTTTTGGATATTTCTAAATTCAAAAATTTACCACTTCATGTTTAAATGATCAATTCTGCTTAAGCCGGTGCTAAGGGCCACTGTAGTTTTCACTCGACAGTAACTAGAGCACAGGCAGAAAAAGCGAAGAAAACAATGAAACCTTTCAAAGTTTCGAAAGGTCGAAGATAACGAAATTACTGTAGATGTTCTTAAGAAAGAACAATTAAATGACAATACTTTACAGCGTTTGTGGCAGTATGCTAGAGAAAATAAGATCATGAGAACAAAAAAGTGATAAAATATTTAGATATGAAGTAGAAAAAGATGTGTTGTATAAAATATTTGAGTAAGCTGAGTAAACTTAGAGTTACCTGCATAATCTAGAGTAAGGTAAATATTATTCAGATTCACTTGCGTAAACATACGAATAAAGGGGGTATCGAAAGTAGCCCGATCTGCTTCCGATCTCCAAACTGGGCAAGCTTAGAGATCCCTAGGCAAACTCCTCACAGTGATTACCTCCCTTGGCAGAATTGTAATCACTGCCTTCAAAGACGTCACATGATGATGAAAGTCACATGACGTAACGTCGAAATTCAAATGTAAATATCGACCGTTACATAGAAAATCTAACGTCATTTTTCTCTTTCTGTTTTATTTTTAACTTTTTAGTGCCTACGATCGATATAGTTTATCAAAAAATTATCAAAAGTATACAAAATAACAAAAAATAAATTCAAAAGCTAAAAAATATAAAATATCAAAATATTGTCTCGGTAGAAAATATTCTCATATTTTTTTAAAATTATTTCTAAATATTTCATATTATTTATTTATTTATCCATAAACATTGTTTAATCAATGAGAAAAAAACTGAACTGATAGATAAAAGCAGTAAATAAAACAATTTTTGAAAAAATATAATATATCAGAAATTCTGATATATTGGGACCTTGGTGGCAGAGATCTACGCCGAAGAATTAAGGGGAGATCACTGTGTGGAGATTGATCCCTAGGTTGTCAAGCGTAGGCATAATTCCGCTCAGAATAGAGTTACCTAGATAATCTAGAGTAAGGTAAATATTATTCAGAATCACTTGCATTAACATACGAATAAAGGGGATATCGAAGTAAGCCTGATCTGCTTCAGACTAAGCTGGGTAAGCTTAGAGATCCCTAGGTTGTCAAAGGTAGGCAAAATACCGCTCAGAATAACCTAAAAAAATAATGGTAGTAAGGTGGATAATTAAGGGCAATATTGCTTTGCTTCAAGGTAAGCTGGGTCAGAACTATCAGGGTGAATATGAAAAAGATAAATATCTTCCGGAGTGACCCTAATAATCATAGGAGTAAGATTGGTTATCAAGTGTAAGCGTACGAGTTAAGAGTAAGGGCTTGCATAGTAGTAAAGTATGCTTTGGAGGTGAATCCCAGGGCTCGAACCCACTCAAAAGGCTCCGACCTTTATTTATTTATGTATATGCTCCATAAAAGGAATTTATGTTTCACATCCTACTAATTTTATGTTAATTCCACATGTTTCTATAGTTTATTTGCAAATTTTTCTTAATGCCTAGTAGGCTCCGCCGATCCGACTGACTCTGCACCCTAATAAACACCACAAAAAATTCCTCTTTGAAAATAATAATATATTGTTATAATTATGCTAAAAATCCATTTTAATTATAATGCTAAGGTCGATACAAATATTCTAAAATGTTAAAACTAACGATTTAATTTTTTTCTTTTCAATTATTACTGAACAGGAACGTAATTAATCCTTGTACGGCATACATAACATCTTCGCTAGGTAAATAAACTGTTATTAACAATTGTAGAGCATTTATGACATTTATTAATTTTGATAAACGTAACACTAAAATTTGAAGTGCAAATAAAATGAATATTATCAATACTGTCGCACAAACTCTTGCAATCATTCATTACAACGTTACTTTAAGACCTTTTTCAAATGTTATCACTTTGTTAAAGTTAGTGTGTGTAGTATTTGTTTCCTTAAGAGTAAATGAAGTTGAATTTTAATCTTAATAATATGTACATTTGACTTTTTTATAATAACATCTTTATCAAGCATTATATGATAACTCAACTTTTGATTGCTTTTCTTTCCTAACAAATACATTTATATTGCGCTTAAGATTTCTGTTTATTGTTCCACTTCTTATTTTGTCTGTAAATTTTGTATGAACCTCAAATCCAAGTCTATCCATGCAAGAAATAACATATTCTGGAGATTGGTTGTTTATATGAGAATAACCCTTTTGTCCAGGCCTTGCCCAGCTCAAAATGACACCTTCACGTGCATGTCGAACTATGTTGCTTATCAAAACCTTCTCATAAGCTTTAGGTATGTGTTCGGCTACTTCTAGACATAATATCCAATCGTAAACTGGTAAGCCAAATTGTGGTAACGAAAGGTCAAGAAATTGCACAAGACCATTGCTTGTTATCTCACAAAAAGGGGCTCCATCATATGCATCGTATGTTTTTACTAGTCCTGTGTCAAGTATTGCGCTTTTAAATCTTCCTGGTCCGTCTCCAAAACTTGCAATGTTTTTCCCTTTAAGAAAATATAAAATAAAAAAGTAAATATGTCTTAATATAAATTTCCATAAACTATCAAAGTAATTGAAAGTAATACAGTGAGTACTTTTATCATCATTATTTTTTCGTATTAATTTTTTTATGTTCAAACTCATATGCAATGTGTTCAAACTCAAATTCAATATAGGCTAAGGTGGGATCTTTTAAATACACGTTGAAAGACCAATAAGTTGTATTGTTTAAATTATTTATAGTGTAACATCCTTTACCAACACTGAGTACAAATAAACTTACTTTAATTACCGGTATAAGAATATCTATGTCTTAATAAAGAATGCGCTAAAGTATTTCATAACCTTCAACAACATAAGTATTGGCTTCCAAAGAAGATACGAATAATTCATAAATATTATGTGCAGCAGGATTCATTTAGACTTAGTATATTTTCTTAACGTTTGTGCTTATTTTTAATCTAAGTGTATGCTCAAACAACTTGTTTTTTTTGTAATATACCTAAAATATTTCGTAATATTTGTGTTTATTTCTTATCTTTGTGTATATTTGTTGGATCAAATTGATTAAGTTTGACTGTAATATACCTCGAAAAAATTCGGCTAATTCTGCAGCAAAACTTTTGTTAAACCCTAAATGTTTCGTTTTTGAGGCTATGGGGCACCATCCGCCAGCATCAGTCGTCTCCTCCATAGCAACTTTTGTTCTGTTTAACTCCTTCCAAAACAGTTTCAATAAAATCAGTAAGTTTAATATTTTAATCTTAAACAAGATATATAACTCATTGAAACAACAGTTTAAATACGAAGACAACTTTTCGAAATGCGTATCTGTGTTTGTAAAAAAAGAAATATTTTTGTAATAGAAACAAATTACACAAATATGCCAGCGCCATTGCAATATTTTGAAAACTATTGAAATATTCTATATAACTGATTCTAATTTTTTACTGTTCCTCACAAGCATATAAATGTAATGCAAACTCTCGTTATCCAATAACGATATACACCTAACGCCCTAAAGGCTGTCTATATACATGTATTGTTTTCGTTGTCATATATTTGTGATGCATTTGTCTCCCTTGTTTGTCTCAATACATAAATGTTGTAGAAACAACTGATTGTCTCTTCTAGTTTTAATAATCTTAAAACGGATTTTTTACGTTGAGAAAAATAAAACACCAATGCCTATAATTTGTCTCTATCATTGGAACTCACCCAGCAAATTAATACCGTACAAAAACGAGGATTCTGTATCAAAAGAAAAGATAATTAATTATAAATACTTTGATTTTGTTTTTTTAAAAAAAACATTACACTACCTCGCATTTCAATCGCCCGATAATTTGCTGTTTCTGGTTAAGCAATTTTGAGAGATTATTTCTCTGAGCTATGAGCACGTTTTCACCCTGTCCAACATTGCTATTTGACCACATGTCAATGAACTAAATGCAAATCAAAAACATTAATTATGAACCAGCAGATTTGTAATTGGTAAGCTCGTTTTGAACTTAGAGCGTATTATATATATATATATATATATATATATATTATATATATATATATATATATATATATATTATATATATATATATATATATATATATATATATATATATATATATATATATATATATATAATAAAAATATAATACTGAAAATGATATAATAACAAATCATGTGGGAGCCTGTGGTAAATGTCTCCTTATGCCACTTTAACATGCCGCAACATAAATCTTTTTCGAGATTAATTATGATTTATTATACATGTTTTATGTCATATCTTAAATTAACAATGCGTGATAACAATACATCAGGACTGAAATTTTATATCAAATCGCATAAGTTACACAGATTGTTTTATGTCTGTCTTGGCATGTAGTGTATATCAACTATATAGTTGTCTTTCTCAATTAATTGTGCAGTTTTATAATCTGTAATATAGACTTTTTGCAGGTTTGTCATATTTTTGTTCGTTAAATTACCCTCATTAAGCAAGAAATATTATCTTACAAGAGTTAGCCAGTTAATACATGGCCAAATAATTTGTCTACAAATACGTAAAATATGATAAACAAGATCAACAAGGAAGGCGGCGTTCAATGATCGTAACCCCCACACGACCCAGCAACAATAACCGGGTGCAAGAAGCCCAGGAGGACCTGCACAAAAACAGGGAATGGCGCGAGGCAGAACACGGACAGACTAGACACTTAAATGATACTTAAAAATAAATAAAACTAACCAATAAGGAAATTAAAAGTAAAACGATAATTAATTGATGAATAGACCCACAAAGTAAAGGGGTATAGGGGAAGGGGATGCGAGATTCGGGAAAGTGAGGGGCAGAAAAATAAAAAGAAATATAAAAACACTATGGGCAAATGGGAAAATACCATAGACGAGAAACTCAATATATTCATAATCTGACTACGACAAGCATTAAATGAAATTTAGAAGGAATTCTGTTTTAGGTCCTTTCAAGAATAAGTAAAGAATTATTTTGTTCTTCTGCAATTATATTAAAATAGAAATAAGCGGTAAGGCCGGGTTGTTTGAGTTTGTTAATGGACGATACTGGTAAGTTCAAGTTTCCGTCCATGCACCCTAGCACAGGCCAAAGTCTGAATTACAGAGTATAGAAGTATTGCAGTTTCAAGTTGCTAAAGTATCAGGCTGAATATCCAAGTCAGAGACCACTTTGTTATGATTAAATATAATATTTCTAAAAGGTTTCTTATATTTCTAGCAAATTATTGGAATCTCGGAGTGTTTGAAGAATAAAACAAATGAATCATTAACACGTGTATCACCATATATACTAGGTAAATCTGTGAAATTAATTCCTTTATTTAGAAAAGTTACTTTCAGAAAATGCCTGTCGTGGTCAGAAGTGTTGTCGATGTGAGGTCTTAAAATAGATAAATACAGAATTCCTAAAGAAAGCCCAACACGGCAAAATTGAAAATGTTGCAGGCTCGGTTTGATTGAGCCTGTTCATGGATGGTACTGGAAAGTGCAAGTTACCGTCCACGCTCCCTAGCACCGGCTTAAGCAGAATTCAACATTTAAACATGAAATAGTAAAATTTTGAATTTAGAAACATCCGCAGATGTTAGATGATCTTAAGACGTGTTGAGTATAACTTTGAATAAGATATGATGCTGTAAATAAATGATCTTTTTGAATAACGAAATTATCAGCCTCTGCGTCTAATAATTACAGAGATGATAATGAAAGGGAAGTAAGACGTGATAACATTGCATGTTTACCAGACTTTTCTAAGATACTATTTAAGTGTAATTATATTTGCGTTTGATCTTACGAAATCTAACCCACAAGTAACGTACCATAAAAAAATCATAAATATGTATTGATGTAAATTAATTTTAGTGACGAACAAACGTGTATCTATTGCAGTCAAAAACAGTAAATATTAAGATAAAATTTATTGCAAGCATATAACCCTTTTCTTCCAGTCAATATAGTCACTTTTATTCCACATGATTGTCCATAAAATTGCTGCAGCCATTAAACATAGCAAAACACTACATAGATTAAAAGCATCCCTTCGAGTCATGTTCCAAATGCTAGAAATAATTCTTAGCAATTTGTATAACAATTCGTAAATCTAGTCCCACGTCTCATCTGATTCTATATAGTAAAACAAAGATGCAGTTAAAAGGCGAGGAATTTCAAACAGAAAAGACCTCGATTAAAATAGTCCGCTTAAAGAGCGCACGAATAATACTAAACAAAATATAGTTCCAACATTTTACCATAAAGTTACCTAACGAAGTTTTAAACGTTAAGATTTAATTGCATATATAAATATACACATTAACAGATTGCTGCTTATCAATTCTTGCAACGAATTTGTGTTTGTACAACAACAAAAACATAAATAAAAATAAAACGTGTAGTATTTCCATATCCACGATTTATGTAGTACGTCAAATATAGAAAAGATAAATACAGAATCCCTAGGGATTCCTAGGGACCCTAACCCTAACCCTAAATGTATAGAAACCTATTAAACTATTAAATGTTTACGCTGATATAATCTTTAAGGAAGATATTCAGCCGACGTTAAACTGGTTAATTTGCCTATGATTTCTAAGATTTCGGAGCATATATAAAATGTTAGCAATTATTGCATAACAATGACATGTTAATTTCTTTTAGCTAAGATATACGATCTAATATAACATTTATTTATATAGCAAATAATGAAATGTTATTTAAGAAAACATTATAATTTATCGTATAAATGTGAATACAAAATCATAAAGAATTTAACTCAATTTTTTTTCAATATTTTATAAGAATGTCCAACTGATATATTCCTATTGTTTATCAATATTTAAGATTCGTACTTATGGTAAATGTGCCCATAGTAGGCCAATACACATGATGTATTTTTTACATGGGTTTATGTTTTTTTGATCAATTACTAAACATAAAGTTATGTTAAGTTCAATGTAATTATACACTTATAACAGTTTTATAAAACTAAAACAGAGTTGTGGACCTATTTTTCAATCATTTATTTGTTTTCTATGAATTCCTTATCAGTTACAAATATTTCCTATTATTGAATCATTTATTTGTTTTCTTTGAATTCCTGATCAGTTACAAATTATTTATCATTTTAGTGATTGGCCTGCCCGTGCTCTGTCTTGTGCCCTGTCCTGCTTTTTTTGTTTGGGGTCCGCCTGGGCTCCTTGCCACTGGTTCTTGTTGCTGGGTCGTATGTGAGTTGCGTTCATTGAACGCCGCCTTTCCTTGTTGATCTTGCTTATAATATTTTGTGAAAATTAAATGTTTTAATTGAATGTTAAATTCACAGGAACAAAATTTTAGCAATACTTACTAAACATTTGTTGCCGTGCCACGTGAGAATACTGTTTTTGTTTTTCATTGATAAAATAAAAATGATAAAACAATTTCTGTAGATAAAGTATTACTGCATTGTTTGACAGGTTGAGCCAAAGAAAGATATACCTTTCGTTGGGCTGAGTTAAATGTATATAACTATTATTTATCTGCAGACTCTAAATTTGGGTTTCTTATTTTTTTCCTATGATTTTATTTTTGAAATTATTAATTTTCCTTTACCATGCAAAACTGGTTAAATCTGTTTCAGATAGTTGTGCTAATCTATGTTACTCGGAACAAATTATAGACTTGATATTTTATGATAAACACTTTCGGAGGTTTGGGCCCATACACATGAGAATAATTGTTGCATCAGCGTCGTCCACTAGCCCTTGGGCATGATAGTTCTCATTATTTGTCTGGAAATGGAGTGAACAGTAGAGTTTACAAAGGACTATGATAACTGTTTGTTTCCTAGATATAGATTTGAACTGCTATGAATATACGGGTGTTAATGTCGTCACTGAAACTTGTGTCACCCCTAGGTAGTAGTATTAAAGGATTAACATTACAGAAAATCAATAGAGTGTTTTGTATTGTTTATGCAAGGAACACATGGTTGTTTGTTTTTGGAAGACCACATAAAGAGAGTGGTGAGTGTGTAATATTTTTATGAAGACAACATCGGCGTATTCTAGAATGATACGCATGCTATGTAAACGTTTCCAAGCTTCTTCCTATATATAGTTGCAATGAATATGCCAAGAACAATCACCAGAAAATGTAAGCTAATGTGTTCTTAAGAAGTAACTACATACATAATTTGGTTTTGCATAGAAAGAGGTGGTAAATAAGGTTAATATGTTTTATGTCTAATTGCCATGATTTCAGATTAAGAGGATTGAACATGACAAGCAAAATGTAAGTCCGAAGGGAAATTTCATCATATTATGTTGAATTACAAGCTTGAATCATCGGCGAAAAAAATATATAAGACACCAGATATACAGCAATATTGTATATAAAACTACAATGATTGGACCCAGAACCGAGGCTGGAGAACGCTTGCTTTGATAAAAGATCAATCAGATTTTAAAGCAGAAAGAACAACGGATTTGCGTCTTATTAAAAGCAGTACTAAGTACTTTATACCTGAGACTTTTGGGCCACACTTTATGAAAGTTCTTGCTTATGTCGAATAAAACAACTGAGTATGGCCACATCGAAAGTTTTTTTTAGTATTCTACCTGGCACTAAGCACCTCAAATCTTATTTTTGAAGGTGCTAATCTTTGATATATTCTCCATACAAACTCTTATAGGACACTCCGGATGCCAGAGAAGTGGCTTTGACGTTTTCATTCTTTTATTGAAATACGAAAAAAAAAAGATTCTAATACTTAGGGTAAAAGCATTACTCAGAAGCCTCTTGAAGAACTCAATTTTCCAGGACAACACCTATATATTCTATTGCTATATCCCTTGTCGTCTGACAAAACATAAAATAACTTCTTTATTCAATATTAAACACAACTTATTTTCAAATATTATTATTCATTGATTGACGCACCTAAATAGGTACACTGACCAAACATGCATAAAATACGTCAATGACGTTCAATAGCAATACAATTATAGTCAAATATGTTAAAGATTATTGAAATGTAATACAAGTGCACTATAATTTTTATAACAGATTGGCCGGGATTAGGGAAAAGGAAATTGAGTGCATGTCAACACAAGGCGCAGTGGGTTGTATACGAGTACCGTTTGATCAACGTCACTCTCCTACATAAGAAAGCAAAAACATCTTTTTATGATATGTTCTTTCTTTATAGATATATTCATAGAGTTTTAAAAATACTCTCTTTATATATTGGATTGATTTTACCAAATTAGGATATCATTAAATTATTACAACAATACAAAAATATGCCCTAAAATGTTCAATGGAAATAACACCATTCATTAGAAAACTAAATTTTTGTTAACACTTTATTCGTTCTATGTTCATGTACAAATATATGCCCTTGCATCGACTTTGTGACATTCCTGACATTGTTGAAAGTCGTAAGACCGAAAGGCATGAAACAAAAATGATAACTGCAACATATGAAAAATGTGTAAAAAGCTTTTATATGTGTTTTAAGCTAATTGGTCTAATTAAATCATCAAAAATCCCGATCACAAACTATTATGCTAAACATCTTGACACAAGCCTATGCTTCTGGAAATTTATCTTCCCTATGCATCTTTAATGATTACCTTATTAAGCTTTCTTTATAATCAACACATAATCTAGTAGAACCGTCCTTCTGTATAACAAGGACTATAGAAAGAGGCGGTAGATTGTTCGACAGTTCTCTTCATAATTCCTTTACTTATTTCGCTAAATAACATAGTTTTATGACGACTTTAAATGGTTGTCGCACAGGTTGTTTTCGTCTTAGTGCTGCATTACCTGCTGCATTGTAATAATTTTGTGTTTGACTGAATTGTGCAATCAGAATTATCTTTGGTCTACACAAATATATCTTTACATTTGAACAGATCAGAAGTGCTTCTGATATTTTGTCATTTAAACAGACAGAACTTCGATTAAAAAAATCCGGTTAATGATTTTGTTTACCATACGCGTTATCTGTTTTTATTTCAGAGATACTAGCACACATGTATCTCTAATAGATTACAACATTTCCAAAAATGTCTTCATCAATTACTCCTTATTTACAATTTCTGTACAACTTCCTATATTTAGCCCTTCATAAACTATCATTTGTTTCAGCAATAACAATTTCTATTTCACGAGAATTAATTACTTTAACTATACTAAGTTTACATTTTTCTTGCGTAAGCACCTATTTCATTTAAGTATAACAAGATTTTAAAAGTTTATCACCAGTAGTTTGACTTGAAGACCGAGTCTGTGCAGATTGAGTCTGATTTTTCGTGTAATTTTGTTGTGATTAATGCTTCCAAAGGATCACTTTGTTTTTATACTTCACAACAGCAGGTATCAAGTGTCGTGTGGCAGCTGTAAAATGTTGCCCCGTACTTCACTTCAGTGTTGTTATATTTTCCTGGTCCTTTGGGATCATTGATGCCAGCATTATTAAGTGTTGAGAATTAATTAGGTACCGTTCAAGCCGGTGCTAGTGGGCGTGAGGGATGATGCACTTTTTCATTATCCCTAATGTACAGACTCAGTCAAACCTAGTCTGCAATTTTCATGTAATTTTGTTGGATTGATTCTTCCGAAGGATCACTTTGTTTCCAGATCTTTTAACGTTTGCGAATAGTCTAGATCGAGACTCTTCTTCCACACATTACGTAACAACGATTCTGCATACCGCTTAGGCTTCACCACTTGTAAAACTTATAGCCTGGGTGGTATTTTTAGTTTTCGATGATTTCAATTTTCAGGAGCCGTAGACTAATGTAGAATATTGCTTGACCTCTTCAAAAACAACTAGAGTTAGACGCAATTTCTTCCTAGTCCACTCAACTGTCCTCGAAGTATGTTCTATATGTATACTGATCTATATATTCATCATCATTAAATGGATCAGTTCTAATAATAATCAAAGTCCATAGAGATTTGTTAAAACAAAACAATTGTCTGCCAAATATTTTGTCATATTATTAGCCTATATTTTGACGAATAAGACAATCATTTAAATTCTTATGTGCCACCTTGAGAAAGATTAAACTTTATTGCACTATCTGAATTATCCATTATTTTTAGTTTGATAACACTTGCCAAACCGGTCGCACATATTTATTTAAGAATAAACCAACCAACCACAGCGTTCTGCTCAAACTAGCATGGTCTTGGATCCGTAAATGACTCAATTTAAGTAATATGTTTTTAAATGAAGTGGTAATCAAGAAAATTAATGACACTTTTTAAGAAAATAATCGCGTATTTTCCATGAGATGTTGACGGTTTTTAAGTTTCATAACAGTACTTTCTCGGCATTTGACTGGATTTAGAACTTCTTTCCACTGACTTCGTTA